TTTTTTTTTTTTCTAGTTTCTGCTTCATCAACATTGATTTTTCTGATTGTATGCATACATTTTTATCGAGTATGTGCTATACTCGCGTTCTTTATTACTAAAAATTTGTCTACAAACTCTATTCATAATTTTGTATACTTGAACAACGTTGATAAGAACCAAAAATGTTATGCTAATCCAACTAACGTTCTTATTCCCTCATATGATCTACTGAGACGCCTATTTTAGGGTTTCTTTTTGAAGCAAATGATGAAAATTTGTTATTTTTCAGTATGAAGAATATTGCTGATCTTGTTGCCTGCATTATTTTCTTCTTACTCCATATATTTTTTTTGTATTTCTATATTTTATCTATTTTGTGCTGTTTTTTTTTTTCTTTTGACCCATTTCTTATGTTTTTTTGGCGTATCCAACAGCAGCAGTGAGTGTTCGACAATTTGTTTGCAACAGTTCACCTCACCAGCTTATTGTATAACCATATATTCTTGCAGATGGTCATTGAAGGCACATCATCAATTCCATCGCAGTCATTGTCTTCAAATAACATTGAAGCTGCATCAACAAAAGAAAGTCCAGAAAGTACAAAAACATCAGAAGGTGGAACAGATACCAGCGGACCATCACAGTCAAAAAGTGCTAAACAGGATGACGAAAATTCGAGGTATTTTTGTGTGAAACTTTTTTTTTTTGTTATTTATTTTTGTTGGTTAAGAACTGGACATTTGAACAGGAAAAGCGCAAGGGTAATATAATGTTTCTTCCATTTAAATATTTTTTTTTTCCAGGTTCGAGTGTAATATCTGCTTAGAGCAAGCGAAAGATGCGGTTATTTCAATGTGTGGACATCTCTTTTGTTGGCCTTGTCTTCACCAGTGGCTAGATACACGGCCACATTTACAGTTGTGCCCGGTTTGCAAATCCGCAATAAGCAGAGATAAGGTCTTTCATAACATTTTTTATATACTAGTTTATGTCAGTTTTCTTCTGGATATAGTCAAAGAATCTTTAGTTGTTTTTTTTTTTTTTTTTTTCGCTTATTTGGCACTTTTTTTTGGAAGGAGATAAGGTTCCTGCTCTTCAATGAGTTGCATATGATATAAATAATATGAGGACTTTGTACTCTACAATATTTCTTCTCGAAAAGTTCTGTTGATTGTATTTCATTTGTGGGATCTACTGGTACATTTGCTTCACTTAATCATCTCTACGTTATAGATTTTTAACTGTTTTATAAGGAACAAAAAAAGCCTTGAAAAGTTCAGTTATAAATTCTAAAGACTAGAAAACTGGTCTTATTATTATTATTATTATTATTATTATTATTATTATTATTTATTATTATTATTATTATTATTATTATTATTATTATTTTTATTTTTATTATACCGATTCTTTTTACGCGGAAGCGAATACAAAATCCTCACTGTTGCTTTTAAAATACTTGTTTTGCTCTAACTCTTGAACTTCTTTCTCGTCCATCCACTTTGTTTAGACAAAGCTGTTTCAGTTACTGCTGGTAAATAAGGGGTTGTCAAATTATCCGTAATAAAAGGGGTTTTTTTCAATATTTTTGTTTTGAAAATGCTGTTTGGAGTAGTAACTGTATAAGAGTCACCGATTCTTAGTTGTGCGTCTTAGAGACGAACTGATTACGCGATAAGTTAAGGAAAAGGAAACTAGTTGTGAAAACTAGCGAAAAAATTAACCAGCAATAAATTTAGTAGACGGTGAAATTTTAATTCAGCACAATACGTTAAGGTTTCTTTTCTTCTATATCTTACTACTAACAGCATCTAATCTGTCAAGTTCTCGCTGTGGTTTGGCTAACGGTTACAACCAGATTTCACTTTGTACTCGTACCACGGGGGTGACACAGTTATGTGTTGTATTCCATAAATTTTTTTCTAGGGCGATGAATTAGAGATTATGGAAAACAATTTGCAGGTTATTCCTCTGTATGGGAGAGGAGGTAGTGGTGAAGATCCTCGGAACAAAACAGTACCACCTCGCCCAAAAGGCCAACGGACAGAAGCTCCTCAGGTTTGGCTTTGTGAACTATAAAACTGTGAGCTTATGTATATTTGATGTACATTGTCTCTATTCTTTATCCTTACAGGTTTTTATTCACTGTCTGTTTTGGGAGATGCTGTTATGCTAATTAGTTTAGAATTCACATCATGGATTTTTCCCTGGGTTCCAATGGGGAGCGGAAAATAATGGAGCTGTACAGTTTTCAATGGGTATTGGTATTTTTCCAATCTCCTTTTTTGCTTCATTTTTTAATCCAGGATTCGTTGAACGACGTCCGGATCCACGTAAGATTTCTAATTTTAATTGTGGTAACATACTCTTCTTTCCCATCAAGAAAATTGCTTGAAAATTTCTTTCTTTTCACTGATTGTATAAAACATTTGCTCGTACAGCTATAAATGGAGTTCGAAGATGTTTAGGCGAAAGAAATAATTTAAAACTTATTTCTCCGTTTCAGCTTTAGCAGGCACGCCGCAAGCGGAAGATGAGCGATTATTATCAAACGCCTTTTTAATTCTTGCGTCAGTTTTTATTTTTTGGCTTCTTCTTCTGTAGGGTAATCAGTAATGACAATTTTTACTTGTATTTTTGTTGTTTACGTGTGGTTTCCAATTCGAATGCGGTGTTCCATTCTTCATGTGGGAAATGAGTATAAGGAGGCGTTTTACGTCGTTTCATCTTTATGTTTCTTCTCGCGCCACTTCGTTTCATTGTAGTAACTTCAAGATGTTATTTGAAATATCTTATTTGTTTATAATGCTTTCTGCCAAAGGGTTTATGGCTTTCTTTTTAGTTTTATGCGGAAATATTTGCAAAAATTACTGAGAATTTTCATGGCATACGGTTTGACTGCAGTTCAACAGTTTTGTTGAGCTTGTTGAAACTTTGCTAGTGATGCGTTTGAAATTATCCTTTAATCAAAAAAAGAGCTAGAATTGAAATGGCTCCTTCCAACAGATCTGTGTAAACTTCTTTCTATACTTCTAATTACGAGAATAGTAGAGGAGTTGGCTGAATAAAATGTTTGCTTATAGGATGTAGTAGTTTTCACACTCACTCTTCATTTGCATTATATTTTCAAATGTTATGGTTTCAAATGAAAGAGTGGTGGTACTCAAATCGACATTTTTGTGTAACATGTGAGGAGTGGTGATTATTTTAGCTTTTTATTAATGTGGCGTCTTTCATAGTTTGCATGCAGAAAAACAGTCTGAATTATCCAAATATATAGAAAATTATTTATTAGTTGCATCGAAAAAATAACTGGTTAAAACAAAAAATTAAGCTCCAGTGAAAGTGACGAGTTAATACTTTGCTAAGTGGAGGGTCTAGCCTCCTTGTGAGCGTTATATGCTGCGCATTTTTGGAAATAAAGTTCTTGAGTGGTCAAACTGAGTAAG